AGAGAGGGAGGAAGAGGAGGAGGAGGAGGAGGAGGAGGAGGAGGAAGAGGAGGAGGAGGAGGAGGAGTGAGGAGGAGGAGGAGGAAAGTGGATGAAAAGGAGGAGGAGGATGAGGAGGAGAAAGAGGAGGAGGACGAGGACGAGGAGGAGGAGGAGGAGGAAGAAGAGAAAGAGGAGGAGGAGGAGGAGGAGGAGAAGAAGCAGGAGGAGGGGGAGGAGGAGAGTTTGAGGAGGAGGAGGAGAAGGAGAAACAGGAGAAGGAGGAGGAGGACGAAGAGGAGGAGGAGGAGAAGGAGGAGGAGGAGGAGGAGGAGGGTGCAGTTCATCAGAGCTGCAGTGCATTCTCTCCCATGCACGGTGGTCGTGCATATAAGGCGCATCGTTCGCATTTGGCAGAATCTGGCTCTCGCTCCAGACATCCTCGCACGGCGCGCGACGAGGCCAGGACCCACCGCGCCCCCAGGGACCATTCCCGGGGCGCGCGCCGAGCGTGTCCCGGGAGGGCTCTCAGCCGAGACACCCTCGCAGAGTTGATCCCCAGCGCTCGAGGAGGGCAGGCCCCAGCGCGCACGGATCGTTCCCGGAGCGCGCTCCGGGGCGCACCACTGGGCGTGTCCCAGCAGGGCTCTCGCTCGAGACATCCTCGCAATGTCGACCCCCCGCGCGCGAGGATGTCAGGCGCCACCGCGCCCCTGGGGACCAGTTCTGGGGAGCGCGCCAGGGGGCACCAAGCGTGTCCCAGCAGGGCTCTCGCTCGAGATATTCTCGCACGGCGCGCGAGGAGGTCAGGCCCCTCGCCTTCCTGCTCCACGCTCGCCTGATCCTCGCCCGCGTGACCCTCACTCTCTTGATCCTCTCCCTCGTGAGCCTGGCCCGCCTGCTCCTCACGCTCATTCTCCTCTCGATCATTCTCCTCTCGCCCAGAAACGCGAGCCCTTCTTTCTTTGATTATGCAGAAACTCCCGATCAACCGCAGGGCGGCGGGCTAGTAATATGCATGCATGTATGTATGTATGCATGCATTTATGTGTGTGTATGCAGCTATGCATGTATGCAATGTCATGTCATGTCATGTCATGCCATGTAATGTAATGTAATGTAGTGTAATGCATGCATGCATGCATGCATGCATGCACTTATGTATGAATGTGTGTGCACGCATGTGTGTATGTATATATGCATGCATGCATGCATGTATGTATGTGTATGTATGCCTGGATGCCTGGATGTCTGTATGTATGTATGTATATATGTATGTATGTGTGCATGTATGTATGTATGTATGTATGTATGTATGTATGGATGTGTGTATGTATGTATGTATGTACGTGCGTACGTATGTAGGTTGTATGTATGTATGTATGCGTGTGTTTATGTTTGTATGTGTGCATGCGCACGTACAAAAGTATGGATGCGTGTATGTGTGCGTCTACATGTATGAATGTGGGTATGTATGACTGTATGTAACTATGTGTATGGTTACGTGTGTACATGTGTGCGTGTGTATGTATGTATGTATGCATGTATGTATGTGCGTGTGTATGTGTGTATGTTTGCATGCATGCATGCATGTAAGTAAGTATGTATGTATGTATGTATGTATGAGTGTATGTATGAGTGTATGTAAAATTGGTAGATGTGTGTATGTATGTGTGCGCGTGTGTATGCTTATATGTATGTATGTATGCATGTGTGCCTATGTGCTTGTGTATGTGTGTACCTGTGTATGCGTTTGTGCTTGTATGTGTGCTTGGTTGTGTGCTTGTGTGTTTGTGCGTGTGTGTGGTTGTGTGTGTTTGTGTGAGGTTGGGTGTATGTGTGGTTGTGTGTTTGTGCGTTCGCGTGCTTGTGTGCTTGTGTGCTTGTGCGCTTGTGTGCTTGTGTGAATGTGTGTGTGTGTTTGTGTGTGTTTGTATGTGTTTGTGTGTTTGTTTGTATATGTATGTGTGTTTGTGTGTTTGTGTGTATGTGTCTTTGTGTGCGCGTGTGTGTGTGTGTGCGTGTGTGTGCGTGTACAGGCATCCCATCGCCAGCGCAGACGTTCCCTGCCTAGCCGCCGTCGCAAAAAGTGTGTGTGTGTGTGTACGTGTGTGTGTGTCAGCGTTGCGCGGTGGCACGACTGCCCCACCCCAGGATTCTCAGAGGATTCGTACCGTTCGCACCAGGTGCCGCCGACGACCCGAAACCCCCCTCCTCCCTTTTTGGGGGAGGTTGGTTCGTACCGGGCGCAGCGGGTGCCGCCGACGTCCTGTGGCCCCCCCCAGGTGTGGGCGTGGGGTGTGTGATCCGATCCGGTTCCGACGCCGTGCCGAGGCGGTCCGATCGCACCGCCAGCGATTTTGTACACCGTCGCCGTCCGTGAAGGTACACGCAAGGTTCGTCGGAGGGTGTCTGTGTATGTCGGCGGCGAGCGAGGGGGGGAAGTGAGGAGGGGCGGGCCTTCTCAGAAAGCTCGGAAGTCCTCGGGCCTTCCGCGAAGTCTTCTAAGCCCTCCCTGAAAAGAAACACATGATCCCGGCAAAGCAACCTAACAGCGATGTGTATGAGCATATCTGGAAGAATTACCCTTGAGATTCGCCTTATCTCAGCTTCGGCCTGCCTCGGCCTCATCCTCAGCCTCAGCCTCAGTCTCAGCCTCAGCCTGTCTCGGCCTGCGCCTGCCTCGGCCTCAGCCTCAGCCTGCCTCAGCCTCAGCCTGCCTCAGCCTCAGCCTCAGCCTGTCTCAGCCTCAGCCTGCCTCAGCATCAGCCTCAGCCTAAGCCTCAGCCTGCCTCGGCTTACCTCGGCCTCAGCCTCAGCCTGCCTCGGCCTCAGCCTCAGCCTCAGCCTCAGCCTGCCTCAGCCTCAGCCTCAGCCTGCCTCGACGTGCCTCAGCCTCAGCCTCAGCCTGCCTCGGCCTCAGCCTGCCTCGGCCGCCTCGGCCTCAGCCACAGCCTCAGCCTCAGCCTGCATCAGCCTCAGCTTCAGCCTCAGCCTCAGCCTGCCTCGGCTTGCCTCAGCCTCAGCCTCAGCCTGCCTCGGCCTCAGCCTCAGCTTCAGCCTGCCTCAGCCTCAGCGTTAGCCTCTCAGCCTCAGCCTGCATCAGCCTCAGCCTCAGCCTCAGCCAGCCTCAGCCTCAGTCTCAGCCTGCCTCAGCCTCAGCCTGCCTCAGCCTCAGCCTCAGCCTGCCTCGGCCTTAGCCTGCGTCAGCCTCAGCCTCAGCCTCAGCCTCAGCCTCAGCCTCAGCCTGCCTCAGCCTCAGCCTCAGCCTTAGCCTGCGTCAGCCTCAGCCTCAGCCTCAGCCTGCCTCGGCTTGCCTCATCCTCAGCCTCAGCTTGCCTCGGCCTCAGCCTCAGCCTCAGCCTCAGCCTGCCTCAGCTTCAGCCTCAGCCTCAGCCTGCCTCGGCGTGCCTCAGCCTCAGCCTCAGCCTGCCTCAGCCTCAGCCTGCCTCAGCCTCAGCCTCAGCCTCAGCCTCGACGTGCCTCAGCCTCAGCCTCAGCCTGCCTCGGCCTCAGCCTGCAGCCTCAGCCTCAGGCCTTCAGCCTCGGCCTCAGCCTCAGCCTGCCTCAGCCTCAGCCTGCAGCCTCAGCCTCAGCCTCAGCCTGCCTCAGCCAGCCTGCCTCAGCCTCCTCAGCCTGCCTCAGCCTCAGCCTCAGCCTGCCTCAGCCTCAGCCTCAGCCTCAGCCTCAGCCTCAGCCTCAGCCTGCCTCCTCAGCCTGCCTCAGCCTCAGCCTCAGCCTGCCTCAGCCTGCAGCCAGCCTCAGCCTCAGCCTCAGCCTGCCTCAGCCTCAGCCTCAGCCTCAGCCTCAGCCTCAGCCTCAGCCTGCCTCAGCCTCAGCCTCCTCAGCCTCAGCCTCAGCCTCTCAGCCTCAGCCTCAGCCTCAGCCTCAGCCTCAGCCTGCCTCAGCCTCAGCCTGCATCAGCCTCAGCCTCAGCCTCAGCCTCAGCCTGCCTCAGCCTCAGCCTGCCTCAGCCTCAGCCTCAGCCTGCCTCGGCGTGCCTCAGCCTCAGCCTCAGCCTGCCTCGCCTCAGCCTGCCTCGGCCTCAGCCTGCCTCAGCTCGGGCATTCAAAATATGGCACAGGACTGGTGTTCTGGGAACACGAAGATGACGAAGTGGCCCACAGATGGCTCCGGGCAATCAAAATATGGTACAGGAATTGTGTTCTAGGAACACGAAGATCACGAAGTGGCCTACAGTTGGCTCCGGGCATTCAAAATGTGGCCTGGGAATGGTGTTCTGGGAACACGAAGAACACAAAGTGGCCTACAGTTGGCTGCGGGCATTCAAAATGTGGCCTGAGAATAATGTTCTGGGAAGACGAAGAACACGAAGTGGCCTACAGTTGGCTCCGGGCATTCAAAATGTGGCCTGGGAATGGTGTTCTGGGAGCACGAAGAACACGAAGTGGCCTACAGTTGGCTCCGGGCATTCGAAATGTGGCCTGGGAATGGTGTTCTGGTGATGGATTCCTAAGGATCCGTGAGAATTCTAAAGGATTCCAAAGGATTCCTATTGCTGACCCTTTCTGTCCGGTTTTGTCCGGATCCCGCCGAGACCCCCTTGGGGCGTCAAGATGTTCTTGACACCACTAGAAACCTATCAGCAAAAGCTGTTAGGTAAAAAGCTTCTCTGAAGGCGCGAGGGGGCTTCTGCGCAGTTCCGCCTCCTTCTGAGAGGCATTTCTCCTTCTTTCTTCCCCCTTCGCTCACCGCCGAATCTGGCTTTTGGGTCATAACACGGGCCTCCGGCGGCCATTCGGCACGATCCAAGCACCCCCGGAACGCTCTCGGCGAGGAGCAGCCGCTGGAACCCATCCCGAGGCCAGAAGGCCACCGAGAATTGACGAAGACGCCCGAACACCTCGAACCCCGAGCCTTCTCCTTCCCACTTCCCCCCCCTCGCTCGCCGCCAAGTATGCATTCTCGGGCGTAGATTCGCGTTCGGTCCGACTTCCCGCTTCGGTGCCGGGTGCTGCTGGCCCGGCGCCGCTCAGACAGCGCGGCCCCCACGGCGCGAGGCGGGCGAAGCGCCGAGCTGGTCCCCGCTGCAGGAGGCGGGCCGTTGCCGACGGCGGTGGCCGGAGACGACGGGGACGCCGACGGCGACTGCGACGACGGCGACGCCGACGGCGACGGCGACGGCGGCAACGACGACGGCGACGGCGACGGCGACGGCGACGCCAGCGGCGGCGACGGCGACGACGGCGACGGCGCTGGCGACGGCGACAGCGCCTGGGAAGTGCGAGGGCGGTGGGGAGGGGGACGACGACGCCGACATTGGCAGACGGCGACCACGACATTGGCAGACGGCGACCACGACGACAACAAATAGGAGGAGGAGGAGGAGGAGGAGGAGGAGGAGGAGGAGGAGGAGGAAGACGACGACGACGACAGCGACGACGGCGACGGCGGCGACAGCGACGGCGACACCAGCCAGGCAGGGGCCTCAGGAGGGCCGACAACGACGACGTTGTCGCAGCGGCGACGCCGACGCCGGCTGCGGCGGCGGCGGCGGCGGCGGCGACGGCGGCGGCCACGACGAGGCGGGCTGGACGCCGATGCTGAGCGTTGCCGACGCGGGCATGCAGCACCACAAGCGTCGTCTGTCGGGCGAGGCGCCGGCGGCCTTGCCTGTGCCTGCCACTGCAGGGCGTGTGTCGATCCGATCGATCCGATCCAATATCGATCGTGTGGTCCTGCACGGTCCCACAAATTCATTGCGGTGTGGGGGGGATGTTGTGCGGATTTCGCCGGACGTGGTCGACATGTGGACGATATTTGAACGACATTTGGGCGAAAGGGTGGCGAGGGGTGGTCGAAATCTGGACGAAATGCAGTCGAAGTCACGCCTATGGCAGGGCCGCGGAGGTTCACAGAGGCCCGAACGAAGGCTCAACCAGCATCGATTCTGGGCGGCTCGATTTTTTCGAGTCCGATGAAGCCCAGACAATGACATACAGTGCCGTTTTTAATACATGCTCAGCGTGCGGACCATGTACTAAAAATAAAGGGTTGATTAATACATGCAAGGCTGAGTTTATGCATTAATTTAATCATAAATGAATCATGCATTAAAATTCCTATATGTTTGAAAATCCTATGTATTAATACCTGCCCTGTAAGGACAACTTCGGGCTCAGGAGGGGCGCTGGTCTTCGGGCCGTCCCCCCTCCTGGACACCCACGGACACCCGTGCCAAGAGACACCCCGCCTGCCTCCAGGCTGCAGTGGGTCTCTTGGGTTTCGATGGTTTTGCGATGGAGCGTGACGTTCCCACACCAGAGGTCAATGGACGTCCTGGGGTCTCAGGGTTGGGCTTCTTGTGGAAGGTTTCTTGTGGTCGAGCTCCTACTGTAGATTCAGGTCGGGGAACTTATTCGAAGCCGAGACTCGCCGCGGCCAGAAATGGTTCGTCGTCCCTGACTCTTCGTTCCTCCCATTGGCACGATGACTGGATTCTTGACGCTCCGCGCAACCTCACCTGCCCATTTGGAAACGATGCCCAGGCGAGTTGCCCTGATCAGGGATATGTAGGAGTATGCAGCGGAATAACAGGCTGGCGAGGCCGTCATACCCCAAGAGGAGGAGGATAGAGGAGGAGAAGGAGGAGGAGGAGGAGGAAGAGGAGGAGGCAGAAGAGGAGGAAGAGGAGGAGGAGCAGGCGGAAGAGGAGGAGGAGGAGGAGGAGAAGGAGGGCGACCAGAATGGCCAGAAGCCTCTTGGATGCCCCTCGGACTCTCTTCGCATGTCTGTTGAAAGCTTCTGTGAGTCGTCTTGGAGTGCTTTGGTGGTCTCTTGGCGGTCCTGGGGGTCTCTTTGGGCGTCCTTGGTGCCTTGGGGGAGCCTCTTGGACTCTGTTGGGGATCTCTTGGGAGTCTCACTGGCACCTCTTGGCGGCCTCGTTGGGCCTCCTGGGCGCCTATTGTGGGGCTCTTCGGGCACTCTTGGGAGCCTCGGAGGTCATCCTGGGGCCATCTTGGAGGAGATGGATCAATCAAGGGGGGTGGGGCTCAATTAGGGTCCGCCCCCCAGGATGCCAAAATGGGACCAAAACCTAAGTACAATGAGTGATGCTTGCCTTCTCGCCGAGCCCGTCCTGGACATCCCAATCGGTCGCGGGGCGCCCCGTCCAGGTCCAGGAGGAGGGGGCAGGGGGAACGGGAAGAGGGAATGTGGAAGAGGAAACGCCCCAAACCATTCAACCCCAGAGGGCCGGAGGAATTCCGAGCGGGGCGGCGCACGTGACGGGGCCCGCCAGAGGGCTCTCAGCCGGTCCCCTCCGATCCTCTCTGGCCGGCGCGGGTCTGGGACCGACCCGACCGCCCGCCTCGCCTTTTGACCCCGGGTGTGGGGAGCTGCTGCGTGGCGCCGGCTGGGCATCGCAGCGCTGCACTTCCCGAGGTCCCCGCCCGCTCCCCCTCCTCCCCCTCCTCCTGCTCCTCCTGCTCCTCCTCCTCCTCCTCCTCCTCCTCCTCCTCCTCCTCCTCCTCTTTATCCTCCTGCTCCCGCCTGCTCCTGCCCCCTGCCTCCTGCCTGCTGTTCCTCCGCCTCACGGCCGCTCCTCCCCCCCCAGGGTGCCATTTGCAAGCCACACACGCTGCAAACCACACCCTTTGAAGTCGCCGACAGGCGCTCAAGGCTGAACTCCGCATGATAGAGCGACTTGGATGCCCCCCAGGGACGCGGTAGCGCCTCGTGCGGAAGCACCGAGGGACGCGGTAGCGCCTCGTGACCTTGAGGTATCGGTGCCGCGATCGGGTCAAGGTTGAACGATCGATGCGGTGTCAAAAACTTTGGCGCGCGCAGATGCCGCACGAACTTACCGTACTTGCCTCTATGGCGCCCGTGCAGAGGGTGTTAGCCTCACGGAATACGCTGCCAGCTGCAGCGCCAGACCTTGTTGGCAGGCTCTCAGCTACATCAGATCGTCGGAATCAAAAACAGGTCGGCATCGTCTTATCGAGGACAAAAAACCCTTACCCTAATAACACGATGAAGGCGTGGCCTCACCTAGGTCCCCGTTCCTGCATCCAGAAAATCATTATGGGCGGGTGTGGATTGGTACATCCTCAGAGCAGATCGCCTGTCCCTAATGTCTTTGGCCCTCCTAACTTAAGTTCCCTCCCAAAGGCTTAGGGGTCCGTTTGGGGTGAATCATCGTTCTTCCCCCGCTGGCTGCACCAGCGGCCCGCCGCGCCAGACGCCGACGGCCCCAGGGCACAAAAGGTCGCCCCTCCCCGCGCCCTCCCCGCGCCGAGACCGTGGGAAGGCCTCCGCCTCGATCGGATCAGGACACCGGAGGCCTTGGCCAGGAGGGAAGACTTGCAGGCCTCGGAAAAAATGGCGAAAACGTGCGGCACATTCATCAGTCAACGCCTCCCCCTCCCCCCAATGTTCAAGGTTGGAGGTGGGTCTGATGAGTTGCACTTCGACCGCAGTCCCCCCCGCGCGTGCCAACTTGGAGTTTGGGGGAGCGGGGGAGTGTCCGCAAATGGTCCCCCCTACCATAGGCTCAGGCGCAAATAGGTGTCGATTCCCCGGAAGAGATGGGAAAATATGGGCAGCGGAGGAGAAGACGAGCACCCAGAAGATGTAGCAAAATATAGGGGGATCTTGGGATCTGTGTCTATCTGTTTGTGCGCCCCTGGATACGGCGATAGATCGCCGATGTATCGCCGATCAGCTGTGCATCGCCGATGTGTCGGCGATACATCGCCGATGCATTGGCGATGCGGCGCGCTCCTCCGACCCCATCTATAGGACGCCTCTGATCATGCCCCCGACGGCTCTTCTTCCGACGCGCCCCCATGGCCTCCCCCCCTCGTCCGCGCCACGTGCCTCGGGCCAGGCGCCGATGTATCGCCGATCAGCTGTGCATCGCCGATGCATCGCCGATGCATCGGCGATGCATCGGCGACGCGGCGCGCTCCTCCGGCCCCCGTCTATAGGGCGCCTCTCATCATATGCCCCCCCCGGCTCTTCTCCCGACGCGCCACACGGCTTCTCCCCCCCTCGCCCGCGCCTCGGTGCCTCGGGCCACACCGCCGGGGGGCCGCCTCTCCCCGGGACGCGCCCGGCGGAGGCGGTGCTGCCGATCCCTATATAGAGGCCCGGCCACCTCCTGAGGGCCCAGCCCGTCGCCGTCGTCGTCGCCGTCGCCGTCGCCGTCGTTGTCGTCGTCGCCGTCGTCGTCGCCGTCGCTGTCGGAGGAGGAGGAGGAGGCGGAGGAGGAGGAGGAGGGGGAGGAGGAGGGGAGGAAGCTCCTCCTGCTCCTGCTCCTCCTGCCTCGCCATCTCTGCCTCCTGCTCGTCTTCCTGCCTCCAGGCGCCAGGGATGATGCTGCACGCGGGCCAGCAGCGCCCGCGGGCGCCCGGCTCGGCGGGCGGACCGGCCCCCCCCCCCCTCGCCCCTCGAGGGGCGCGCGGAGGTCGTGGCGGTGGTGGTCACCGCGTGGCCGTCCTCGGCTGTGCCGTCGTCGTCGCCGCGTCGTCGTGGCGGTGGTGGTCGTCGTCACCGCGTCGTCGCGATCATCGTCGTAGTCGTGGTCGGCGTCGTGGTCGTGGTCGTGGTCGTCGTCGTCGTCGTTGTTGTTGTCGGTGTCGTGGTCGCCGTCGTCGTTGCCCGCAGTCGTTGTCATCTCGTCGTCGTCGTCGTCCTCCTCCTCCTCCTCCTCCTCCTCCTCCTCCTCCTCCTCCTCCTGGTCGACCTCGGCGTTGCTTATGGATCGAGGATCGAGCTCGTTACATGTGCCGCTTTTTCTTTCGGCCTTTGTAGACCTCCCGTGGTCGCCATGTTTGCTCGAGACGGAGTTCTCGTTTACGCGCTTGGCTTTTTTGAGACGTTCGCAGACCTCTGGAGGTCGTCGTCGTCGCTCGAGGAACATCGATCCAGGATTTGACATTGCTCATTGCTTAGAGCCTTTTAGGGCCTCTTGAGATGCCTTGAGGTCGCTGTCTTTGCCGTCGTCGTCGATGAACACGGATCAGCGTTTTTGGGCGATCATGAGTTGTCTTGGGTTTCCGAAGACCTCCGCAAATGTTTGTCGTCGTCCGATGATCGAGTCATTCCAGTCCCCTATCCGAGTACAAAGGTCAGAGGGCGACCTCCTGGGTCGCGTGGTCAAAATTAGTGCCGCCAGCTCTGCTTGTCATCGGCGCTTCCTCGGACCAAGGTGCTGAGCCACATCTCCGACTCCAACGACCCCTGACGCGCCCCCCCCCCCCCCCCCACGTGTGCAGGTAGGCCACGGGCAAGGCGGCAAAGTGGTGGGCTCGAAGCCCAGGAGCCAGGAGATGCCAGCCACACCAAACACATCAACATGTCAGGAACCATCGTGGGCGCAGGAGTTGTATACCATGTTGTCTGGTTTGGTCAGGCGGGAAGCCCTGCACGTCGCAGGCCGTAGAGCATACCCATCGGTCGGAATAAATAGGTAGAAGCATTAAGTAGGAAGGCGTTGAAAGTAGATTTGGTTCCGTCCGCCCCTTCAGGAGGACGGAAAAGGTGAAGCCACTTGATCATTGAAATAGAAAGGCGCGTGAAGTAGATTGGAGTCTTGGAATCAAGAAATACGTACTTTCAACGACCGATGGGTAGACGGGCCCGCGAGGGCTAGAGTTCAGTCGGGCAGGTCCCCCCTACAGGAGGAAGATCCGGGAGTGGTAAAACATAGTCTTGGGGCTTTTTGGTGATGTTTTACACATGTGTGGTTGTTCTTCCAGCATCCTCCTGTAGGAGGACATGCCGCATCCCGACCTACGGCCAGAGCGAGGGGGGGGCGGACTTCCGACAGGGCCCAGGGCCTCCTACAGGTCCGAGCCGTGTCGACGGGCGTTTGAGGTTGAACGCAGCCAGGCCCAGAATCGGCCATTACCAAGAGGAGGCAAAGGCACCCTTACATTTACCTTTGCCTAGTTGTTCCCCTGGGCCTCCTGGGCGGTCCTGGTCGCCACCGCTGGATTCGCCTCGAAATCCTGGTCAGAACGCACCCCTTGAGAGGTCCGGGGGGTAGAGGTATTGGTACCTCTTGGTCTCCCCAATCATTGAACGGCTTGGCGGTCTAAAAGACGCCGATCTAGCCAGGTTGAACGATCCGCTTTAGGCCTCCCAGATGGGGTCGGAGCAGATTGGGTCGGAGGATCGCTCCGCATCGCCGATGCATCAGCGATGCGGCCCGGTGTGGAGCCCGATGTTCTCCATGCTGGCGTCGCCGAGGCATCGCCGATGTCGCCGAGGCATCGCCTATGCATCGGCGTTGCATCGCCGATGTATCGGCGATGCTGCGCGATCCTCCGACCCCACCTACGTACAGTGGAAACCCATGCTAAGAAACGCCCTGCTTGCCTTGAGGGTGCCCTGGGTTTCTTCAGTTTCGATGGTATTGCCATGGAAAGCGTGATGGTTCCCACACTAAAAATCAATGTACGTCCTGGGGTCTCAGGGTTGGGTTTCTTAAGCCACCTCAGGGCTCAACCCGAGGACAGTTTAGAGCTTTCGCTCTCTCTTGGAGCAGCGGTTCCTGTTGAGACACGCTTGCTTTCTGCTTCCCTTTGGAACTGGACCCCATGAGCTATGAACGAATGAATGAACGAATGAAGGTCTCTTGAGGTCGAGCTCCCGCTCCACTCCGACCCCATCTGGCAGGCCTCCACGCACGCGGTACCAGGAGCCACCGCCAGGGTCGCCACGGCCGGAGCCCGCCGCAGGGGCAGCCGAGCCCTTCGGGGCAGGCCCCCCCCCCGTTCCTCCCCCGAGGGCCGCCCACCTCGCCCAAGGCCCCTGGCCTGCGCGCCCTCCAGGAGATCGGAGGAGGACAAGGTGCCGAAAAAGGTCCCGACACCGATGCCCATCGGTGGTTGAAAGCAGGCGCTTTTGGGATTCCCAGAGTCCAATCTACTCCAAGCGCCGTCCTACTTCAATGATCGAGTGGCTTCCCCTTTTCCGTCCTCCTGAGGGGGTGGACGGCTCCCAATCTATTGTCAACGCCTTCCTGCTTCATGCTTCTACCTACTTCTTCCGACCGATGGGTACCATTGCCTCGTTTTCCCCTTGTTGCTTTCCCCTTTTTGGGGCCTGCTGGGAGGCCCTCGTCGCCACCTGCTGGATTCGCCTCGAAAGTCTGGTCAGAACGCACCGCGGCGGCGGAAGTAAAAGATGCGCCCCCTCAGAGATGAAAACGTTTTTGGGTTCAGGGTTTCGGGAGTCGGCCATGTTTGTCGCGAAGGTGTTGGCTGAGCTGGTCAGCACCAGCGGGGGTCGCGACGAGCCACTCGAGACTACAGCAGGCGCGGCACATCCAATCATAAGCCGGCCTGCCTGCAGGTCCCCTGTGGGAATTTCTTATCCCCCGATGGCCCTTGGGACACTGGAGCACAATGGGAAGCTCAATAATTGACGTCGAATGCGCCACGAGATTTATCATGGTGGGAGTTCTTTCCTTACGTACCTGCTGTAGCGCCTTCGATGGGCCCGGCCAGGACAGGCGTCGTGGCCAATGTGTAGCAAGCACGCTGGTTAGATCCACTTCGACAACGACGATGCCGACGATGCGGGCCGAGCGACCGCAAGCGTGCCTCGGACACCAGGCGATGAAGAGTCGCCGACTCGTGCGGTGGGCCCGAGTGGTCGGAATCCTACCCGCCCATGGGCGCACACCACGCGGCACCGGCTGCGAAGCCCGCAGCGAGTCTTTTTCTCGGCGACCTCGATTCCCAAAAAACGCGGCGGCATGCCGATCGCCACGCCCGAAAGTTACCCAGCTCACCCGCGGGGGCGCGAAGACAACTCGCGCTTCCCACGTCGCGGCCTGGGCCAGAGAGCAGCGCCTCCCACGTCGCGGCCTGGGCCGGAAAGCCGCCCTCCTCCTCGAGAGGGGCCGTGCGGTGGCGCGGAGGTGGCCCCCCCCCCCAGTCGTGTATCGCGTTGCGAGAACGGCGCGAAGAGAGGTAGCCGAGCAGGCGCAGTCCCGGGGCGCAGATCTAGAGGTGGCCGTGGTCGTGCCGCCGAAGCCCCCTGGGCCCCCTTAATTCGAGTGCTGGCGGGCCGCCGCACGCAGCGGGCGTTGCGATTCACGCCCGCCCGGCTCGGCGCATGGGGCCGCCTCGGCGACAACGTTTCAACCTGGGCCCCGTCTGCCCTCTCCCGAGCTCCTCCTCCGCTCTTTGCTCTCGGGAGGGGATGAGCACACAGGCACAAGGGAACGTCGACCCCCAGGAAACCAGAAAGAGGAAAAGGTGCGAGAAAAAACCATGGGGGAGGACGGCAGTCCAGGAACCGTGGGAAAGAGAGTGGGGAATCCCGGGACTCGTGCCTCTCTCTCTGCCTGCCGCCCCTGGGCGCCTCCCTCCCCCCACGCCGCCTGCCGCATGCCGCGGCCAGCAGGCCGGGCCTCGGCGCAGAGCCGCCAGAGGCCGCCCGAGCCAGCGGCCGCCCTCGGCAGAGGCGGTCGCCGGCCGGGGTCCCGCAGCACACGGGCCGAGAGAGAGCCGAGAGGCCATGGCCGGGGAGGGCTCTCGGCCCAGGGGCAGAGCGGCGGAGGGGCGGTCTCGGCGGGCCGGGCGCAAGCAGAGCAGCCGAGGGACGCACGGAGGTGGGACGGCGCCGCTGCAAGGAGACAGCCGCAAAACAACGCGAAGATCGGGACAAAATCGGATCGGGATAACTCGAAATCTCTGAGAATCGGCAGGTTTGGAGGATGTATTGGGCGCCGCGGCCGCTCCAGAGCGTTCCGGAACGCTCTGAGAGTGCTCCGGAACGCTCTGGAGCGATTTATCCCGATCCTAGCCCTGTTTTAAGCCGGGGAATCCTCAGCCACGCGCAGAGGGGGTGGGGGCAGGGGGGGAGGGCTTCTCAGAAGCACCCCTGCTTCTTCGAAGGCGCGGGCCTTGTCTATAGATGTGAGGCCGGCGCCTTCTAAGAAGCAGCCTGCTTCTGAGAAGCCCTCCCCCTACCCCCACCCCCTTGTGCGTGCCGCCAAAATCCGGCGGCTGTCTGTATGTCGGGCATGTCCCTCTGCAGGAGGAATGTTGATAGTCAGTTGCAAAAAAATAGACTGGGGACGAGTTTGTCGTGTTTTCCTCCAAGGTCCGCCTGTAAGAGGGCATGCCCGACCTAAGGCCATCTTCTTGTTTCTGTGTCCGGGCCACAGATCGGCCGTAACATGTCTTATCGCATGGTTGTCCTGCTTGTGGCCGAGGGTGCAGGTGGTTCCTGACGGACCACCTCCCTGACATGCGTATACCACTTGCGCGTCGGCTCCGCAATGGCGACGCGAATGCTCAGAAATCTGACTCGCAGAAGCTCCGTGGCGGGCGTGATCTGGCGACGCCTCTCGAGAGACGAGGCACCATACGATGTGTGTGTGTGTGTGCTAGGCGTTCGGGCCGGGCGGGCGCCTCCAGCAGCAGCACATGCCGCTGCAGGTAGATAATTGTGCAGCTGGCGTTTGGGAGCCACTTCGCATGACCCCCTATCCACCTCTGGCTTCAGAATTGAGCGAGCGTTCCCTTAGAAACACAACCTCGAGCCCAGCATCTCGGAGCGCAGCACTTGCCCTTGTTAGGGCCAGGGGTGGAGGAGGAACCTGTTTTTTCTAGTTCGAGCGCTGTTGTTGCAGAGTTGTCATTCAGCCGTAGTGCCAGTATGTCCTTCTGCGTCCCACTGAAAGACCGCCTCATGACGCTGTGCCTACTCCTCCTCTGCAACTTTTGTGGTGGAGGCATGGCGCTCTGTCCTGTGTCGGGATAGCCTTCTTGAAGGGCAGCGGATTGCCTCTCCAACTGTGGTGTTGTTTTTCGCTCTGCTCCTCTTGTACTCAAGGAGGAAATTACTAAACTCCCCAGGCGTTTTCAAAACAGCCCCGCCCTTTTCGATTCCTTCCCTGGGCACGTTTGCTAAGCGTCTTCGCTCGCCAAGGTGCTTAATTCTCTGAAGTCCCAGGAGTGGAGTTCTGGCACGATTCAGGATCGTCAACACGCAACAGTCAGGTTGATCCGTGGCGTTGAAATCCCGAGAACAATGTTTTGGCATGCTTCAGGATCTTCAGACGGATGTCTTCCAACGAGGCAGTTCCTTCAATGGAGATGAACCGTTGTGGGGGGCTATGAGGAGGGAGCTTGGAGGGAGGGTTTATTCCAACATCGTTGGTGCCTCTTGGGTTTAGCCTGGTCCTCCTCCTCCTCCTCCTCCTGCTCCTCCTCCTCCTCCTCCTCCTCCTCCTCCTCCTCCTCCTCCTCCTCCTCCCTGTCTCCGCGCGCGCGGCGGGCGCGCGCGCGCGAGTGCCCCGAGGAGGGCGCGCCACGGCGGCGCCAGAGGCCCAGGCAGAGGCAGGGGGGGCGGCCTGGACGAGCTGGCTCTTAAGTCGGGCACGTCCCCCTCCAGGAGGAGGAGTCAGAAATAACCGGGCATGTGCTGTGGGTGGAGGGCAAAGGGTGAAATCTGAAATGCTGTTTCGATTGGTGCTCGGGGCTTAAATCTGCAAGAAGGTGAATCACAAGACGGATCGATTGGTTGTCGAGGTGTAGAAGCCCATATGGATTTCACCCTGAGCCCTCCACCCTGCGAAAATGCTCAGAATAACTACTTTTTATTGTTCGTCTAAAACCCGCCTGTAGGAGGGCATGCCCTACCTAAAGCTGGCTCTCCCAGCTCGGCGCTCAATGGACGGTGGTCACTGCAAATGGGGGTCTGCCAGAGCGCCAGATCTTGCAGAAGCCTGCGGAGCTAGGGTTCCACCGACTCGGGCTCGGGTGCAGGATCCTGCAGTACCTGACAGGACCCTGCAAAGCCTGGCCGACCCGGGTGTGCAATTGACCCGGGTCAGTAAATCCGCGACAGCGCTTCCGGCGGGACGATCGGAACGCGTACGGACAAAATGAACACAGAGACCGACGCCATTTCCTGTTCAGTTTGAGCAGGGCTCGCTGCCAGTGTCGCCGCAGACGCTGTCCATTTGAGCACGGAAAAGGACATCATGTTCTGATCATTTTGAACAGGACATCATCTCTGGTTGATTTTGAACAGGGCTCGCTGTCGGTGTCGCTGCGGACATTGTCCTTTTGAGGCAGAAAGCCGCCTGCTCAGCAGCGGCCGCTGTCGCTTCGGGACACCATGTGTGCTGGACATCGTTCCCATGTGTCGGTACCCATTTCGGGCGTCCGAATTTCGGGTGCCTCGTCTATGGTGGGTGGCGGATTCCGAATCCGAACCTTGCCCTCGCCGATCATCGATTCGGGCAACTCGACGGGCGGCTGGGGTGTAGGGCTCGCAATGCGTTGAGCACGTGGCGAGGTCCGAACCCCACCCCCGCCTCCCATCGATGCAGGAGAATATATGGTTGATGAGGGTAATCAGGCCAGACGGGGCCAGGACAAGGATACACCCGTTCCAGTGGATTCCGGAACGCTCTCAGAGCGTTCCGGAACGGTCTGAGAAGGCCGCGACGCCCTACACATCTTCTAGAGCCCCTGGATCTCAGAGATTCTCGATTCATTCTCACCTGAATATGTCTTCGTCTTGGCTTCGTCATAGTAGGGGCCGGATGTCGCCACCCATGTGTCGAGTAGGGGATCGACTAGAGAATTGATTTACCCCAGAATTTATACGTATACTGTTTTAGATTTACTGATATACAGACTGTTTAAGTTTTTTTCGTCAGAGTGAGGGGGCCGAACGGTCATTCACTGTCCCTGGGCGCGTGGCTGAAGTGAGGTTCTGCGGTGCGGATTGTTACTGTTGTTGGTGGTTGTCGGTGTTGTTGTTGCTGATGTCGTTGTTGAACATTATTAATTCTAAAGAATAATTATTGTTGGGACCCCTGGTGCACGGCCCCCCTGCGCCGCCTAGGCCGCAGCTACATTTTCATCATTTTCGTGAGGAAGCCTCAGGTAATTCGATGTGATCAAGATCCGGTTGTTTTGTTCCCCCCCGCTTTCCCTTGCAAAAAACACTATAAAATGACATTTCTTGTTCTAATATAATCAAATTTCAAGAATCCCTTGCAAAAAATAAGGTAAAGTGGACATTCGCGCGCGCAAGACGAAATCCTTCCAAAAGCTTAGTGTTCGGAGCGATTTTAACATAAAAACATCAAAAAACCAATGGTTTTTCAACAAAAAAATGTCAAAATCTCATCCCGCGCGCTCTTGCGGATTCGTAGGAAACCCAACACTTTTTAAACATTTCTGTCAAACGGGCTTTTGCGAGCAACTTTTTCGAACTTCTGCGACAACGGTTGCGCACCTGCCAGGGCCATCATCCCTGTCAAATAATACCATGCGGGACACATTCGTTTTTTCTTCGCGCGCGCACGCCGAAATCTGCAAAAACCATTGGGTTCTTAAGAATTTTAGCACCGCGCATCATAAAATCACACGAATCGTCTGCTTAAGTGTATTCCCATCATCCCAGGAACTTGACCCAAAAATGTGACCAACTCCGCTCTCTCTGTCTCTCTCTCTGTCTGCTCTCTGTCTCTCTCTCTGTCTCTCTGTATTATGTATTGTATGGCACAATTGCACCATGCTGGGCACATGCGCGCCCCGAATAAGTGACCAAGTTCTGTGGGTGTGTACCCCACGCCAGTGTAGTAGCCACGGTCGTCCGCACGCCACGAAGTGAAGTGTCCCAACGTCATAGGGCGGGAAGCTGGGTTTGGGTGGTCGCGAAGAGTCGTTTGGATATTTGGTAGAGCTTGTAATGCCCCCCCACGAAGTGGGGGTATTGCCTGGTGTCGTATGAAAACCCTGGCACTGGGGAGAACACCACGCGTTCGGGTAAAATGATTGTTGTTGTTGTTGTTGTTGTTGTTGTTGTTGGTGTTGGTGTTGGTGTTGGTGGTGGTGGTGGTGGTGGTGGTGGTGGTAGTGGTGTTGTTGATGTTGTTGTTGTTGTTGTTTGTGGTGGTGGTGTTGCTGGTGTTGATGGTGGTGTTGTGATTGTTGTTGAACTCTCATTTCTGAAACAAATAATTATTGTTGATCCCCCCCGTCCGGTGCACATTGTATTTTTTCGATTGAAGTGCCCCTCCTGGGGCTCGCACCCTGTTTTCTCACCAGGGAAAGTCTTGAGGCTCAAACTGTGTCGTTGGCCCCCGGTTTACAACAACGGTTCCCGCTTGACACTTCCTCACAATTTATTGAAGAATCGCGTTCTCGCTTGGGACA